AAGAGGTGGGGCAAACGCGGGAGAATCAAGCAAAATCTACTTTCGTTACACTTTTTCTCAAGGTCACCAATCTGAAACCGTTGATTTACTCTATAGGGCAGAACGCGCCTACGGAAGTATGACTTCAAAAATGATTAACAAAGTTTGCCAACCATAAAAAGCTATGTAATCGTGTTATCCAGCATTTGCTTCTTCTTGCCGTGCAAGTGGCGCTGTTTTAGATTATTGCACACAGCGAATATATAGTCGGGAGCGGGAGAACTTCGTATAGGTTATATGTGCATTTTCGCCCTTTTAAAGAAAAGTTTAGAGCTGCTAAAGAGTAATTGAGTTGGGAAAAAACAGCAAAGGTATTGTCTTCTTCTCAAAAACATGTTATTGAAAGGCTTTTATCGTAGTACAATCGCTGAACGTGTAAAAAAAATTAAAATAGAATTATACCCGTACGGCTTGTGTTATTTTTCGTTTAATTGTCTTTTATGTATATATTGTACCGGAAATGTATATGTAACTAACAGAAGATTAAGATTAATAGTTTTTTTGGTGTATAGATATTTTTTTCCTTAAGAATACAGATACCTACTAAAGTTTTTTAAAAATATTTTACTTTAAAAAAGATCTGTAGTGACTGGGAATTGAACCTCCATCGTTCGTAGGATTCCTGTAGACCACACTGTTAACAATGGATAATCAGTCAATTTCAAATAAATTGTCTGCAGGTATCAATTTTTAACCATTATAATTAAAAAAATATGTTTTTCGTCATATTTACATTAATATATGCTCAAATTTGGAAATCAATAGGCGTGTATAGCTGTAGATGTTGTACAAACTTACTTTCGAACATAGTAATTTTTACTATATTGAATAGCAATGCAGTAGAATGAGAAATTTTACCATGACACAGAGCGAAATCTACTTTAGAATGTGGGACATTTTAAAACGATTCGAATAAGAATTACTATGTTTGCATAGCAAAAATTGTACTCTTACAATTTTTAGTATGTCAGAAATAGTAATTTTTATTTTGCCATGTAATTATATTTGTACGGCTGCTACACAATAATAATTATTTTGAAGATAATAAAAATTATTTTAAACGTAACGATTGGCGTCATTAAGTGAGTATGTTGTAGTTTTTCCACTAAGTATAGAAATTTTTTAGTACAGTTATTATCCTTTTTTACACACCACTTTTATCAATGCAGTCAAATTATAAAATTCAAAATTTGTGACCGTCAGTGACGGCAAAGAAGTTCGTCAAAAAATCTGACAAAATTACTAAACAGTTTCCTTACGGAGTACTACCCATCTCCAAAATTCGTAGGGCTATATAGGGCGCCAAACTGGTCAGTTGCTCAGGGTACCAGAATGTCTTAAGCCGCTTCTAGGCCCAACATAGAAAAATCAATTACTTCATCATATCTTACAGTTTGTAACTTATTTTCCACATAAACTTTTAATAAATACACATTTATTTATTCAGTTTAGTTGTAAATTAAATAAATAAACAATTTACTTAACAAAATAATTTTTTTTTTTAATATCTTTTTTTCTTAAACCAGGCAGTACCCTTCCAATTCATTAATAAATATTTATTTCTATGTGTACAATTTGTTACTCTTACAATAAATAAATAATTTTTTATACAAATTTTTCATATTTTTTCAAAATTTTCAAAAATTAAAAAAAA